CCACACATGGGAAGGACAAACAAACCAAGTCGTACAGTGTGTGGGTTAGTTAGAATAATTTAGTTAGCACTCACCACAGTTAGAATACCTCCCATATACTCGCAATGCAGCGAAAATTGCAGAATCGTTCCAAATACAAATAGGATTTGCACCGATTGATTGATTGTATATTGGTTTAACGTCCCTCTCGAGAATATTTCATTCATATGGAGACGCCACCACTTGTCGCTGAAGAGCTGCAAATTTTGTCCTATACTCGGCACTCGGGGCCATTGAGCAGGAAGGGATCTTTTTCGTGCCAGCACCTACTGCTACAAGGGACCTCGGTTCATAAAGTCTCATCCGAAGGACCGGTCTCCACGTCCCAGAGTGGGATTCAAACCTCAACTGAACCTGCGACGTAAGGATCAACTCCTTACTTCGCGACTCTAGAGCAGACGCTCTAAACACTGCGCCACGAGGTCGACGCGTGTATATGTTGTTTAATGTCCCTCTCAAGAATTTTTCACTCATATGGAGACGCCACCACTTGCCGGTGGAGAGCTGCAAATTTTGTCCTATACTTGGCACTTACGGCCGTTGAGCAGGGAGGAAACTTTTTCCTGGCAGCACCTACTGCGACAATCCGTAGGACATTTATCATGTAAACGATATCTAGAACATTATATCTTTGTGTGGGTAAGACATAAAGTAATACGTAAGGAACAAGTAAGTCATTCGGTGTATAGGCAAGACAAAAATCAATGGAAGTAATTTTAAAAAAATTTTCATACAAGTCAATATAATAACCATTCTTATCGGCATAATGTTTCAGTATTCAATCATAAGATGACCGGTAAATGTATCGAGGCAATTTATTCTATTCCCATTATTTATACAAGTACCACCACCTAATGCAATTCAATATTCTCAACAGCAACTCCACCGACGTCTTTGTCTACAACACTGTCCGTATCTTCATCGACCGGTGCATCCATATCATTGGCTTCAGGAGTGTCGCCAACGTCTGAATCCTTATCGTCGTCAACGTCTGAATCCTTATCGTCATCTGAATCGTCGTCAACGTCTGAATCCTTGTCGTTATCTGAATCGTCGTCAACGTCTGAATCTTTGTCGTTATCTGAATCGTCGTCAGCGTCTAAATCCTTATCGGCATCTGAATCGTCGTCAACTTCGGAATCCTTATCGTCATCTGAATCGTCGTCAACGTCGGAATCCTTATCGTCATCTGAATCGTCGTCAACGTCGGAATCCTTGCCGTCATCTCAATCGTCGTCAACGTCTGAATCCTTGTCGTCATCTCAATCATCGCCAACGTCTTCACCACAAACATCGGCATCAATGATAAAGGCCCCCAAGCACTGTCGTGTGAATGGAACACACGGGAATTATTCGTGCAATATTGGTCCACAAGGGATGTTGCACGTCTCCGAATCTTTGACTTGCGAATGTAACACAGGATTTCATTTAAAATCTGGAGATCTCGAGAGAACCTGTTTACATGGGGGGACGTGGAGCGGAAGTGAACCTATGTGTATCGGTATGTAGTCTCTCTCTCTCTCTCTCGTGTATATGTGTGTGTAATTTCTTCTTTCGTGATTTTCTAATGATGGGCCCATTACTTCTAACTTAAGAGATAGTCCTATATTTGCAGCCTCTGGGAGCTGTATGTGTCCGTGTGACAGAGTGACTAACCCCAGTTACACATCTCCTAATGACGAGGCTCTACTGAAGGAAATCCAGAGGATGAAACAGGAACTACTAATTCTCAAAAACATAACTAACAAAGCCTTAAGAAAAAAGATCTCAATCCCAGACTTCCGGCCCAGTGCAAATGTTTCCGGAACTCCGTGGGTGTTACTTCTGGTTGCCATGGTTTTGTGGATTGTTGTACCAGATGTGTGGACAGTAATTCAACAATTGAAGATTCTTATATTTCGGGCCAGGATTTAATTTTTCATTATTTGTAAATGGTGCTGTATACAAAACTTTTATTGGTCATATTACTTTTACAATTTTTTTTCAAAAAAATTGTTTCAATTTGGCATTACTTATTAAGTTTACTATTACAATTTTGTTTTCATTGATTTTTATATTTCATTATTAATTATGGCTGTATAACAATAAGTCAGCATTCTGTGCCTTGAGACAAAATGTCATCAGTTAAAATAATTTTATCCCTTATTGCAAACAAGGCATGATAAAAATAGTCCTTCACTATAACAAACGGTCGTTTATGGTGAATTAATATTTGATGTGGAAGTGCAATGAATTAAAAATTCTATACACATAATATGTTGATGTTTGTTTGTTTGTTTTCTTTGAATGACGTCCTTTAGCGGTTTCTCAGGTCCAAGTTGTGTTTCGAGAACGCACAAGTTCCGTCGCCGTGTCAAAAGATGCGTTTATGCAACGCTGAATTCTATCGCCTGAAATTGACAAGTTGAACAGCTATATAAGAGTTCACCTCTGTTGCTGTAGTTCTTGATCAAGTTCACAAAGTTGTTTCAGAAAGCCATCGTTTGGGAAAATTTCTCTTTTATCTCGCACGTGTTTGACGGCATCCATTACCGTCATCCCCTTCTTTATCATGAGGTAGGCGAGCACTATAGACCCAGATCGGCTCATCCCGCTCTGACAATGTACGTACACCGTTCCTGCAAATTTAAAGAGTTTTGGTTTAAAATAATTTTCATACAAGTTTTAATCTTTTGAAGTATTTGTCAGTTAATTCTATTATTTTAACATTTATCATATTTCTTCTTTACCATTAAACTTTACAGGCATCGGGAATTTACGGCATCCCACCAATTTTTAGCTCACCAGAACTAAACGCGATCCAAAGGCTTGTGTGGATGCCAAATGGACAAAAAAAATGTCGATTTTCAATAGCCTGGTATGGTTAGAATAAAACATACATGTAGGGTTTTTTTCATCTAATTTTACCTTTTTCTTTAAGGGCCTCGTCAATGAAGTCTGCAGTAGATTGGAAGTGCTGATTGATAGGAAAACGTGGGGTGTCCGTGGCCTTAATCCCCAGAAACTTAATGTCTGTCCCGGAAAAATATTCCTCGTCCGTGTTTATCTGATTAAACTTGCTCCCCTGAGCACAGTTCACCACGTGGGTTACACGCTTCCTCTTTAATTCCTCTGTATTTTTTGCTATGTAACTAAAAACAAAGAAGAACTTCTAACTAATATTTACTTATGATGAAACATTAGGATCACAATTATTATATACTTTGATCACAATTTCTCAATTATACACATGCCATGACAAATCGTGATGCCTAAATACTAAAAACTGAAAAAGGAATACCCATTTACACATACACTGTACATTCTTTGGCATTTATAACAAATTAACATAAATATATAACTTACTAGTTGCCTAAAAGAATTCCAGGAAAGACCTCATTGAAATTATCCTTGGGTGTGGCTGGAAGGAACGCCCATGGTGAAGGTTGTGCGCCCACGGGAGGTGATTTTTGCGTGGATCCGCCACGGTCGTCTCGTCTTCTGTTCAGGTAATTCTTAACCTCGTCATACATCTTAACCGTTAAACAGGGACGATGAGTAACTAAAGTCAGACGTCCATTCTTAAATACTGTCCGTATTCAAGTCATTTCTATAAATAATCCATGTAGTAAGTAAAGTTGGTTTGTTTACATGGTCGTCATACCAAATATAGCTGAAGCAAGAAGGATAACTCTAATTCAAGCCACTGACCCATTCTGTATGTATACCCGGTATATCCGTATATGGTAATTGTGACAGATTCATGTTTTATATATTATGCACATGTGCATAGCAATGCATATTGCATGTGCATCTATTCATTAATTTAATTATATATGTTTTTACTTGCAGCGAACTTCTACAGCTGAATTATATAATTATTCATTTAACCTGTAGTTAAGTGTATTGATTTTTAAATTATTCTTTTCCAGAGAGGTCCAGAGTTAGCCTCAGGGCTCTAATTATATTCTGGCCATGATCATTTTGTATCTTTTAGTTTCATTGGTTTTTTAGTATTGTCTTATGCTTTTCTATTGGTTTTTGTGTTTCCCTCCAAGTTTTCTTTGTGTTTTTGGTTAATTTCTTGCTTGGTCTTAGAAGGTGATGGAAGTGTAGTTTGGTCAGTTTTCATATCAGACATTTGACATTGAGACATACATTTCCTCTTGCATGGTAAGTAATTCTTTCATACTAATAAGTAATAAGATTCTTATTTTATTAAATGTGAAATCTGTAATTTTTGCACTTAATTCCTTAAATCACTTTTCTGGAGTAAATGTTTAGTGAGAGTGAGACTGTAGGTATAGAGTTATGTGTTAATAGTAAATACATTGCTGTCTCACTTTTTCATAATTTTAAAGTAAACTTTATTTTATGATTAGTAAAAAATATCTACAAAGGTGTTTATTGTTGGATTTGTAGATATTGAGATATTGCTGTCTTGTGTATGCAGCTTATATGCTGTACGTTGTACAGTATATGACCCATTCCCATTGAATGGTATGCGTGTTAATTGTTTTTTATGCCGAACAATAATTCATTATGTACATATACATTGGAATGATAATTATTGTAAAGATTTTATTGTTAATATTCATTGATAAAAGTAATGGGAGATTTTATTGTGTAATTTTCATATAATTGAATTATCTCCCTTGGATTTTGATAAAGCTATATAATATATTGATTGTACATGTATATTGATTAATAGCTTTATAGTTTTTAGCTCACCTCAACGAAGTTGGGGGGAGCTTATGTGATACCCTCGGCGTCGGCGTCGGCGTCGGTGTCGGCGTCGGCGTCGGCGTCCCAGGTTAAGGTTAAGTTTTTTGGAGCAGTTTTCTTTTTAATTACTTCTGTGTCCTATACTGATTAGACATGCATGGAAAATGGTTTTAGTGTGTTTTATTGTACCAGACAAAGTTTCAGATGCTGCAATTTCAGCACAGGAATTACCAGGTTAATGTTTTTGGAGCAGGTTAACATTTTTGGTGCAGTTTTTGGTGTGGGTTTCATTTCCAAGTAACTATCAGGCCTATGTTGACCAAACTTGCATGGATGATACATCTAAGGATGCATACTACCGGGATTGCTTCGGATGCTGAATCTGACCTACATTTTCCGGTTGAGTGAACAGGTTAAAGTTTTTGGTGTAGGTTTCATTTCCAAGTAACTATAAGCCCTATGTTGACCAAACTTGCATGGATGATACATCTAAGGATGCATACTACCGGGCTTGCTTCGGATGCTGAATCTGACCTACATTTTCCGGTTGAGTGAACAGGTTAAAGTTTTTGGTGTAGGTATCATTTCCAAGTAACTATAAGCCCTATGTTGACCAAACTTGCATGGATGATACATCTAAGGATGCATACTACCGGGCTTGCTTCGGATGCTGAATCTGACCTACATTTTCCGGTTGAGTGAACAGGTTAAAGTTTTTGGTGTAGGTTTCATTTCCAAGTAACTATAAGCCCTATGTTGACCAAACTTGCATGGATGATACATCTAAGGATGCATACTACCGGGCTTGCTTCGGATGCTGAATCTGACCTACATTTTCCGGTTGAGTGAACAGGTTAGAGTTTTTGGTGCAGGTTTCATTTCCAAGTAACTATAAGCCCTATGTTGACCAAACTTGCATGGATGATACATCTAAGGATGCATACTACCGGGATTGCTTCGGATGCTGAATCTGACCTACAATTTCCGGTTGAGTGAACAGGTTAAAGTTTTTGGTGCAGGTTTCATTTCCAAGTAACTATAAGCCCTATGTTGACCAAACTTGCATGGATGATACATCTAAGGATGCATACTACCGGGATTGCTTCGGATGCTGAATCTGACCTACATTTTCCGGTTGAGTGAACAGGTTAAAGTTTTTGGTGTAGGTTTCATTTCCAAGTAACTATAAGCCCTATGTTGACCAAACTTGCATGGATGATACATCTAAGGATGCATACTACCGGGCTTGCTTCGGATGCTGAATCTGACCTACATTTTCCGGTTGAGTGAACAGGTTAAAGTTTTTGGTGTAGGTTTCATTTCCAAGTAACTATAAGCCCTATGTTGACCAAACTTGCATGGATGATACATCTAAGGATGCATACTACCGGGCTTGCTTCGGATGCTGAATCTGACCTACATTTTCGAGTTGAGTGAACAGGTTAAAGTTTTTGGTGCAGGTTTCATTTCCAAGTAACTATAAGCCCTATGTTGACCAAACTTGCATGGATGATACATCTAAGGATGCATACTACCGGGCTTGCTTCGGATGCTGAATCTGACCTACATTTTCCAGTTGAGCGAACAGGTTAATGTTTTTGGTGCAGGTTTCATTTGCAAGTAACTTTAAGCCCTATGTTGACCAAACTTGCATGGATGATACGTCTAAGGATGCACACTACCAGGCTTGCTTCGGATGCTGAATCTGACCTACATTTTCCGGTTGAGTGAATAGTTAAAAGTTTTTGGTGCAGGTTTCATTTCCAAGGAACTATGAGTTCTTTAATGACCAGTCTTGCATAGATGATACATCTAAGGATGCATACTTCCAGGCTTGCTTCGGAAGCTGAATCTGACCTACTTTTTGTGGATGAGTGAAAATGTTAGTTTTAATGCATGTTTCATTTCCAATAAACTATGAGCCCTATAATGAGCAAACTTGCATGGATGATACATCTAAGGATGCACACTAATGGACTTGCTTCGGATGCTGAATTGGACATACATTTTTCAGATAATAGACAAGGTAAAAGTTATGGTTGCAGGTCTATTACCAAAAACTATAAGGCTTATATAACATTGTATAAACCAAACTGTCACAAATGCTGCATCAAGAGATGAAAACTCTCAAATTTGCTTCAGATGCTGGATTTTCATTACATTTTCATGAAGAAGAAGTAGTTTAAATTTTTTATGTAGGTCTATTTCAAAGTATCAGATCAAAATTGCTTTTAAAAATATTTTCATTTTTGGAATGTATACTTTTTGTTGGTTAATTGTGTGACTTTGCCTTACTTAAAGACAACATTCGTTGAGGTGAGCTCTGTAATCTCTGATTACCTATGTTTATGCTCAATATTTATAATATGATATTTCATTATAGGGTTTTGATGATTATTGATCCATCGAATAAAGAGTTTATCGTCTTGTCAGAAACTCGAACCAACAGCCTTGTTGTTATTTAACATCCGACACCAGTCATACCACACAAGTC